TCATGAAATAGTGATCAAATGTTCTGTTACGTCATGCCTCTTTTATGAGCAGTGGTGATATTTTGGTGTGGGTGTATGAAGTGTATTTAGTATTTATCACGGAATATGGCTCACTTTGTGAAAATCTGGAAGGTTTCTTTCCTTCTCTGAACATGTCCACGCAGACTAGTCTCAAATAGGCCATGACCACTTCCTTTAAAAGTCTTTCCAGTTTATCACTGACTAGGCATTGTATAACGTCCGACGCTGTACAGGCGAAGTTTTTTTAACTAAACTACAAAATCAACAAAAGAAAATTCCGTAAGGGAGGCCAAGTTAGAGTACATGACGCTGATATCACGTGACTATGCTGACAAAAAGCGACGGAAGAGAAATTGAAGCCGGTTCTGCCGACGGGAAACGAGTGTCCGGCAGTTCAAGGCCTTGTCGACGGTAAGAGAGACACGGTCATCCATTTTCTTAGGGAACAGTTTGTGTCAAGTGGTTCTGATATATCGAGGTCAATTGAGGCAGATGTCAAACTGTGTTATCGGTTCAAAGGTTTCTGTCCACCCAGGGCGGACATCAGTTTACTATCGATCGCTTTCATCCTTAACTTCCTTCCTATAGTTTCTTGAAATCACAACGTAAATCCTCATAACGTTAAACAGAAATCTCGCGTTTGCGCTGTCCTAATAACCCAATTACGCTGCCTCGATTTGCTTGTGATGGAGAGTTTGGAAACGACAATATTATCTTCCCATCTATGGCTGTGCCTCTAAAGCAGCCTCCTCTTTTCAGGTTATCCCATCAAAATTTTGTACGCTTTTCTCATTTCTCGCGTGCCACCAATCTCATTCTTCTTCAGTTACCCGCCGTAATTACATCTCGCGAAGGGCACAGATTGTGAAGTTCCGCATTATGTAATTTTCTCCATCCACCCATCACTTCTTTCCCCTTGGCTCCAAACAATCCTCTCAGAACCTTGTTATCTCACGGCGAGAGAACTTAACCAGAGCGCAGCAAACATTAACCCTTTAAAGACCGAGTCACAGTTTGAGTTACTTTACGACTAGCGATTTCGTTCGTCTTGGTGCCAAGCCCCTTGAGGTTCACGACCAGAGACATTTTTCGACTCAACCTTTACGGTCATAATCCTTATGTAACATCCACTCTGACGAGAGGATGGGGTTGTCTCGCATGAGTACGCCTCGTCTTTCGCCAAGTGTACTTATCGTACATAGAACATTTTACTGAAAATTCTTCCATTTGCACTATATAAAAGTCCTCTGTCAGTACAGGCTTTGCAAAGCAGATTATGTCTATCTTACGTATCATATGCTACAACGGCAGCTTAGTCACTTGAACGGTCCTAAGCTTGACAGCCGCGAAGTTTAAATTTATGCTGAAGTTCTTTCAAATGGCACATAAAAATTAAGTTCGTACCTCATAGGAAACATTACGTCTCCGCTACAGAGCCCAAACGGTTAATGCTGTTTAGGGAAACAGTCGCTGTTTACTGTGAGAACCATATGGAATACACAGATACACTCTGTGGGCAGAATGCAGAGTTTTGGTATGTTCAGTCCGTACCTCACAGGAAACACTACGTCTCCGCTACAAAGCCCAACCGGTTAATGCTGTTTAGCGAAACAGCCGCTGTTTACTGTGAGAACCATACGGAATACACAGATACACTCTGTGGGCAGAATGCAGAGTTTTAGGCTGGGGCCACACGAGCGCACGAAGTACGTCCGTTGCAACGAACGTACTTTATGACGGACGTTGCTAAGGACACCACGCAGTTTCAGAATGCGGTGCGTAGTTTTCTGTCTGCAATAGAGCCAGAAGAAAGCGTAGCATTCGCCTCTCTTGTTTATTTTTTACAACGGACGTATTTTGTGCGCTCGTGTGGCCCCAGCCTTAGTATGTTAAAGAACGTGCAAAGCTTGGCTGTAATTTGTTAATTTTTTACTAGATATTGCGTGGCCGTACAAAGTGTGCAGGAATAATATAGAGAGGAGGCAGTCGTATTACTGTCCCGGAATTGTTTTTGAGGTACTGGGGAAAATCAGGTAATGTTTGGCGAGTACAGCCGATGTATCGGTCGAGAGCTGGAACAGGGTCCCCCTCAAATGCGAGTGTGGCAGCCCCATCTTGGTTGAGGTACGAGAGGGGTGTCTCCCCAACAGGAAGGAATGCTCTCCACAAGCAGCAGTGAAACAGGGCGGCAAAGTCTTAGACTTATTATATTCGGGAGATTCTCGGTTCACATCTCGTTCGGGATACCGGCTATCCTTATTTTCCTCAGTCCCTCCAGGTCAACTTCACGATGTTGCCTCAACTGGGCTAAGACTTCTTCCTGCCAAATTCTTTCCCATTAATGATTCATGTATCATCCAAACATTCGCAGCAACAGTCTAGCTTCGCCAAATGAAACACCGGCGAAGCTCTTGGGGAGGGGAAAGAGTCGCATGTAAAATTCATTTCACATGAGATGATCCTCAGCGTCTCAGCGTTATACGTCCTCAGACGACGGCTTCCCCCACCCCAGCGAACAAAATAGATTGTTTACCGAGATCAAGTCCCCATAAAGGCTTTCTGATGTGTTTTTGTCGTCTCTCGACTTTACCCTCCTCCTGCAACCTATCTCCTTTCTTTATTTTTTCATTCTTCTCTATTTCCACTACTGAGCACAATGATCATTTTAAGTGGAACTGCGTTCCGCGCTGGGTGTGGCCTGACCTTGTGTCATGGTCATGTGTATCGGAGATTACACGGCGCGCGCTGTGCAAAGGCATTACGCGAGGTCTAGACTACATAAGAACTTTGCTGATTAGTGATAACAAGTGACCAGATGTATACTGTGTAATGTAATAGTTCTGACTTTTCACTTACGTTTATTTAATTATTTCGAAAACCTTCAACACGAAGACATGTTTTGCACTTCCTATAAGTTTTATCCAAATTATTTTCGCTACGATAAATATTTAGGAGTCGGTATTGCGACTGACTCCGGGCTGCACGACTGAGGGGTCGGAGATAGAATCCCGGTGGGGTCAAGATTTCTCACTTCTCCATGTCGTCCAGACCGGCTCTGGGGTCCACCTAACCTCCTATCCAATGGGAACTGGGGGATCTTTCCCCTGGGGAAAAGCGGCCTGGGCGTGAAGCTGACCACTTACCTCCAACTAGTGCCGAGGTCAAGAAAAGGTGAGTTTGTACATCCACTCCCCCATTCGCATTCATGGCGTAGTGTTTAATTGGTTAAGTAAAGGGACAACTTTACCTTACGATAAATACTTAACGAGTTAAGAGCCGAGATGCGTACAAGGACGAGTCCTCATATAAAGTGTCGATTTGAACGCAAATCAGAATGCATTGACAAATTGAAGTGAAACACTCGAATGAGAAATGTTATGACAGTTCCCGAGGTTCATACTGCACAGACGGGACATACATACGTCGGGGCAACTTTTCACTCCTAGCACATGCATATACACGTACATGCGAGATTTCGGCAGTCTTCGGAAGAGACCGGAAGACCACTGAGTACACCTGTTTCCAAATGTTTGTGTAGAGGCGAAGCCCTCAATGGAGAACTATTCAAATTACCTGTGAAACACACCCCATTTGAGGCACTATGCTACAAGCTGGAAGGTCGCGGGCTCAAGCCCCGATGAGTTCATTGGATTTTTTCAATTTACCTAATCTTCCCAGCCGCACTATGACCCTGGGGTCGACTCAGCCTCTAACAGAAATGAGTACCAGGAATCTTCTTGGGGTTAAAGGGCGGCCGGCGCGTAAGGCTGATAACCTCATCGCCATATATAAGCCGATTGTCTAGAAAATGTGGGAGCCTCGACGTCTCACAACCCTATGGGCCTCCACGGCCTGTTACAGGGATAGCTTTGCTTTACTTTTTACTCTACACACCCCATTAACTTCGTCTCGAATTGTGTAATTTTACCTCATGTAAAGAAGGTAAAGGTATCCCACATTTTCTAGACAGTCGGCTCACAGATGGCTGTGAGGTCAGCCTTACGCGCCGGTCGCCCTTTACCCCCAGGAAGATTCCTGGTACTCATTTCTATTAGAAGCTGAGTCGACCCCAGGGCCACAGGTCGCCTGGAAGGATTAGGTCAACTGAAAAATCCAATGACCTCGTCAAGAATCGAACCCGCAACCTTGTAGCATAATGTCCCCCCCTAAACTCTGGCCACCCAATGAGCCGAATGTTTAACGGCTCTCTCTGTGACACTTGCCTGAGTCAGGTGCAATCCCTGTAGCTGCCTGTACGGACTGAGTGAAACCACGAAATATCTCAGTGAAGACCATCGGTGCCCCTTCATAAATCTCTCTGATAGGAGTCACAGAAGCTGCCGCTGCCGCTGCGTGAACCTGTCCGGTCTACTTGGTTAAGAAAATTTCATTCGACAGTTTGGGTTGACTTGTAGATTTGAGGTTTCCACACCCGCGGTTATGTACAGATTTCAGTCTCCTCGGATACAACATCGCGTAGTACGGTGAAAATTTAAGGCTCCTTTTGACACCTGCTTCCACGTTTGTTTCTTGCTTATCTTAGTCTTCGACCCTGAAGATGGAGGCGCCACGCTTTCAACGAACTGTGCGGAATTATATCCGGGTAGATGCAACTCTTACTGTCTTCGCTCGCTTGGAAACCGGGATCGTGGGTTCGAATCCCACTCAGGGTATGGATGTTTAGTTTGTGTGTGTGCGTTTTTCTGTGTTTGTATACTGGTAGAGGCCTTGCGACGAGCTGATCACCCGCCCAAGGAGTCCTACCGAATGTGTAAGATCTAGAAAAACCGAAGTGAATGGAGAAGTTCATGGAGGTAGGCAAGGGCCCACTGGGGCTGTAGTGACAAGGAAAAAAACAGATATAACTCTTGGCTTAACACGTCAGTCCGGCTAGATAAGAAACTTCACAAATTGTTTACCTTTTTCTGAAAATCACCAGCCGCACAGCGCTTTAAATTAGCGGAAATGAGGAAACTTACTCGGTATCCGGTTTATTGCTCTCAGGGGTCTGAGCACGCGGATTGTTCTTATTGCTGACAGGTTCATATTTTCCACGTTCAAACAATACTCCAAGGCACTGAAACAAACAAACAAGAGCAGCGATATAATTTTAAACAGCGTTAACATTTCTGGAGGATATCAAAATTGAGAACGCCCTCCGTAAAGCAGTACACAAAATTCTGTAATCCCGAATGAAATATCTCCGTTCATTGAGCTCCATCTTCTGGTCCTATCTTAACTAACTGCAGTTACTGCGTTTTTGATTTCATTAGAAATGGATTAAGGAGCCGGGACAGCTCAGTCGGTATAGCGAATGGCTACGGGCTGGACGACCGAGAGGTTGGAGTTCGAGTCTCGGTGGGGCAAGAATTTTCTTTTCTCCTCGTCGCCCTGACCAGCTATGGGGTACACCCAACCTCCTGTCCCATGGGTGCCTGGGACTCTTTCGCCGGGGGTAAAGCGTCTGAGACGTGAAGCTGACCACTCACCCTCCAACTAGTGCCGCGGTCAAGAAAAAGTGGATCTATACATCCATAGTGCTTAATTAGTTAGGCGCAGTTAGACAAATTTTATCTCTAGAACTGGATTAAGGAGAAACTGACAAACACCGAATGCACTGCTTAGACTCATAATATGCCGCGGCATTTGATCTTGTGAAGTATTATTTTCTATGTTTAAAATTAGTTCCCGCCTCTTGGAAACGTCTGTGCTACGAAGACGTTGTTTACAGAAAAAATCTGTGGTTATTGTGAGAACCACACAAAGCTATCCCTTAACAGGCCGTGGAGGCGCATAGGGTTGTGAGACGTCGAGGCTCCCACATTTTCTGGACAATTCGCTCCGCTCACAGATGGCGGTTACGTCAGCCTTACGCGCCGGCCGCCGTTTATCTCCCAGGAAAATTCCCGGTACTCATTTCTGTGTTAATACAATTTTCATTGTTGTCATTTTATTACGCACTCCTGCAGAAGATTTATTTTAAATTTTGATTGTTTTTAAATATCTACGACTGTAAGTCTGTACCGGCGACTGTTGGTGTCATGATGGTTGCGTGGTAACAAGGAGCTTACCCTGCAAGGACAATGAAGAAGTCGAGTCTGTTCCAGGAGTCCGCAAGGTACGTCCCCTTGCCGTAGACGCCCATGGCCACCATCTTCACGGTCATCTCGAGCGCGAAGAAGGTGAAGATGAAGTCGTCGAAGATCTGAAATACGAGATACAGGAAAGTGAGATCTTGCTGCAAGGTTGTTCTCTGAGGTGGTCCTCTTTGAGGGGAGGGTGACAAGGCAACAGAAGGAACTGCACAATGAATAGTTTCTTCATAATTTGTAATCATCACCAGATGTTACTGTAGCGATCAAACAAAGGAGGATAAGATGGACGGGGCATGTAGCATGTATGGGACAGATGAGATATACGTAAATAACTTAGGCTGATAAACCTGGAGTGAAGAGACCTGAGTAGGTGGGAGAATAATATTAAAATGTGCTTAAAAGTTATAGGATTGGAGGGCTGACGTTAGGGGCCAGTGATGAGATTTTGTGAAAACGACAATAAAACTTCAGGTAATATAAAATCGGATAGTTTCTTGAGTAGTTGAGCGACTGTTAGCTTCTCAAGAAGGATTCTGCTCCATGCAGTTAGTAAGAATGCTAGTGTGTCCCTTTTTGAGAGAAGGCAAGCTCGTGTATATTGTGACATGTCTGCTAAAAGCTAGAATTGTGAAGCCATCAGGGACAGCCGTTGCTAAGAAACGACTCTGCAAACACGACCGTACCTAGGCAGTGGCTCAAGTGCAGTCACCTGATGGCCGCAACAGACCCGCACGCAACAATAGAAGAGCTGTTGGAAGCGGTTTTTTCTGTGAGGTCCGAGCCGAGGCTATAAAACGAGGACCAGGTGCCACTTAGGATTTCCTTTTTTCATCACCTTCTACGACTTCTGTGGTCACGGTGGAGATATTCGACCCCGCCTCCACACGGGTAAGGTCTGTGGAGGCTGGGTCGAATATCTACACCGTGACCTTGCGAGTCGTAGGAGACGATTGACACCCATCTTCTCGTCAGAAAGGGCGCCCCACAAAAAACAACACCGTAACTGTCAAACAGTAATAAATATCTGGTCATGAGCCCCAGATGGGGCTCAACACCAAGATGATTACCGAATATCACATATTGTGGCGTTATGCTGCCCTTCAATGGCATGACGTTCCCACGAAAAATCGTGAATATCAGCGAAGTAGTTCGTGCCTTGGCGCGGATGGATACACTACCAACTGAGCGACTGCTTGACATTTGTGTCCCAAGATTGCAGTTCCTGGGTAGAAAATGGGATATTATAAATAGAAAAATGATTTTGAAATAGGGGAAAATTACCTTACTATAGTCGATCTACTAATCCAATGTTTCTGTTTCAATCATTTTATGGAGTTGGCTGCCCTGTCGGTGTGACCGTAATTTCCGGCGTCAAACAACAAGCCTACGTAATGGAAGGTTCGTTTGTTTCCTGGCATGAAGTGTTGTGAGTGTATATAAATATATGTACAAGTTCTGATTAATCATCTAATTCCAAGTTTATCTTAAGGTTTTAGTAAAAAGTGTAAGTGGTAGGTTTTATTAGGTGTGTTATACTGGACCCACTGATGCCGAGTGCATACGATTTTACGAACATGTGTTCCCTCTGTTCCACAACGAAATCGAAGTGTTTGCCCTCTGAACCATGAAACTGAAGTATGCATGAAGGAGTAATACGCCATTACGCCATTTGTGAAGTTCCTAACAGTCAGTGCATATAGGTATGTGGCGTGTACACTAGAAGACAATCGGTCACAATTATTTCATATTTTCTTGTGAAATATGTACATTGGTATGCACAGAATGTGTTGTAGTGGGTTCAAGACGAGTGTATGTTTGGTGTGACAGACAACAGGTTGTAGTTTTGCTATCTAACATCTGAAGATGACATGTGTGAGTAGGTTAGTGGACACCATGACATCCGTGTTTTGTTTGCATCAGTGTAATTACTTGCAAGGAAACAGTGTAAAGTGACGTGCTAGTTCCTTAATTTATATCTTAGCTCTGTGTGATGGTTATAATGTGTATTGTGGTACACGAATGTCGAGTGATAATGTTTTCCCCATAAATTAGTCGGCAGTTCCCCTGCTAATGAACATTTATTGTTTACATCAAGGAGATGGTGTGTGTAGTGATAACATTCTTGCAGTGATGTTGCATAATCTTCTGAAGGATATGAACAGTGATGTGTAGAAACTGTGTCGTAGTGTGTACAATAAGGGCAGGTGAATCTTGTTTTGCAAATTCATTTATGGTGTGATACAGAAGGGAGTGTACTATTTTACCCAAACTTTCAAGATTACAGGTATGGTTTGGTTCCCTATATAATCACATGTGTGTTCTGTTCCCGTCAGTAGAAGTGCTTGTAACGAGGCAGACTGTAAAGTGAAGTGAAGTGAAGTGAAAGTTCTCTCAGAAGGCAGTTCTGTAATATGACTTTAATATATACAGTGATGTGTGTTGTGTTTGATGTAGTGTTTTGAAGAAGGTTCAGCTAAGATTTCCATTCACCCACAACAGAGTCAACCTTTTCCCATCTTACGTACATTCTGTGTCTTGCTTACACCAAGAATAAGTGTTTATAGCGAGGTGCTGTGCATATTGAAACACATGTTGTCATTGATGTCATTCTAGCAATCATGTCTAATGATACTGTGATAATGATGCAAGTGATTTCTAATTCAGAAGTGTATTTTTGTGTGATATGCAACAAAGTGCAATCTTCCCATCAGACATTCCAGACACAGTCTGCTTTTACCGGTTCTCACGGTCTCTTCGCTTGCAGATTTCTTATATTTTTTCTTCTACCCTGAAGATGGAGGCGATACGTTCCTCCGAAACGTCGGTTAACACCACATATACACGGTGCCAAATCCCAGAAGACTGCTTTCTTCATAGTCACCGCCGTGAAAGCCTCAAATCTTACGTCCTGTAGGTTCTTCACATACGTGTATATCGCAAAAATGTCATGATGAGAATAATAACATTAGGAAAGAGAATATTTCGGAAAATGCTGGAAATTGTAAAGGTCAGTAAAGTTTATTAATATCCCTATTACCACCACGGCGGCCTGGGTTCGATCCCAGCTGTGTTAAATAAGCAACTTAAAGTCCGTCTGTATAAAGATCCATTCTGGGATAAGTGTGGGTAACATATTCTGTAATTTTAATTAAATTAAAATGAAATTATACCAACACGGACCGCAGGAACTTTAAAATCGTGGTTTCCAATTTTAACTTGTTGCTGAAACCAAGCCGTACATGCCTCCGGCCGTCAGCCGTACGTACATATGTGTTTCGCTGTTTTAGTAAGTAAACTCGCAGAACGAATCGATTGCAATGCAAAATGCATCAGCAGGCAAATGACGCACGCTCTTCACTAAAACGGACGATGTTTTCGGTAAGAGCTGTTACTGTGGCGGACAGGGCTGACCCTCAATTACTCTTGACATTCTGACTATAGTATCCAATATTTTATTTATAGAATTTCGTGTCAGTTCGAAGCAATTTATTCCGTAGGACTTCAATCCTCGTGCCTTTCTCAGACACTCCTACTTCCGCAGCTGTCTTGGAGGTGTAATATTTGTCGGTCTACCTTTTCGTTGGAAACTAAACTTGAGACTAATGTCACTTATATTCTCACAGCGCTGATTATGAATAGTATCTTCCGATATGTGACGCCGTGTAGGTTCAACTTCACTGACGTTTCGGACAAATACATTTACTCCATCTTCACGATCTAAGAGCCAACGAAGAACGCTACCAGTAAGAAATAAACAGTAGGAAGAGTTCTGTTTTGTCGTGCTTCCTTGGCTTGTTTTCAGATCCTGAAGATGGAGGCAATATGTTCCTCCGAAATATCGGTGAAATTTTACCGGACTACACGGCATCGCATCCCAGAAGAAGTTAGTTACGAGAGAATCGGACGATGACACGAATAATCAGCAGGGCCACAGGCGAACAAAAGTACCCCTAGACTACTGTCATGCTTACAGTATCAAGATATATTTCCACAAGTTTGTAAGTTCATAGCGCAGACATGCAGTGAAATGTTATAACGCGTAAGGGAAGGTTTTTAGTTTCTTGGGGTGGGGTGAGACTGAGTGTCCACTTGGTACGTGGGCCACTGTTTGACCTGTTTTACCAGCCCTGGTTGATATATGAGCGTGGAGCAGTCGGTGGAATGAGAATTGGCAAGGAAAACCGAAATATTCGGAAAAAAACCCTGCTCCATTGACACTTCGTCCACCACAAATCCCACATGACCTGACCTGGGCCCGAACCAGAACCACCGCGTTGTAAAGCCGGCCACTAACCGCCTGAGCTATAGCACGACCACACGTGTATCAGTGGGAAGATTGTGCTAATCGCAGTTAGAGATGGGAATTGGCAAAATTCCCGTTGGCTTTTCAGTACGCATTACATTAATTAAATTAAAAAAAAATGTGCTATGCCGACCCTGTAATTACCACAGCACAACTGGATGGAATCCCTAAATTAACTTAAGTATAAGGATACAGGAGTTCTATCGTTCACCCGTTTTGCAGATTGCACATTGATTATACACACGCACACGTATCCAATATAATTTTATTAACAGTGGTGATACGAGATAGTCCGAATTACCCCAATTTATTTGCAAATAAAACATATATATTATGAATTACTTCGTTGAGTGAAGAGTTGTCAGGTGGAGGAGGATGAGAGGGGGGTGGGGTGGGAAATACATATACAGTTGTAATTGAAAAATGAAAGTGATAGACGCCATTTGTGAGATTTGGTTGTAGATGGGAAAACAATACTGAAATGGATCTTAAGCCTTTGGATCCCAGTGGTTACTATATGTACCACTTAACATGCCAAAACTCTGCATTCTGCCCACAGAGTGTGCCTGTGTGTTCCGTATGGTTCTCACAATAAACAGCGACTGTTTCCCTAAACAGCATTAACCGGTTGGGCTTTGTAGCGGAGACGTAATGTTTCTTGTTAGGTACGGACTGAACATACTAAAACTCTGCATTCTGCCCACAGAGTGTATCTGTGTGTTCCGTATGGTTCTCACAGTAAACAGCGACTGTTTCCCTAAACAGCATTAACCGGTTGGGCTTTGTAGCGGAGACGTAATGTTTCCT